TATTGCTGCTACAGTGATGGTAGGTAGATATTGCTGCTACAGTGATGGTAGGAGGTAGATATTGCTGCTACAGTGATGGTAGGTGTTTATTGACTCTACAGCTGGGTATTACTATTATTAAAATATTCCTAGAGATATACGGGCTTCATTGTGTTGTTGTGATGTGGTAGCTGTCAAGGGAATTTCTCGTTGATTTTGTCCAATTGCATAGTGCGCTGTTTTGAGTGTTGTTTAATGGGAAAATGTTGCTATTTTATTGTGTTGCTATTGAAAACTAGTGTGGCATAGTAGTTCATCCTTTTCCTAGTTATTAGTGGGGGAGAGGGGGGTGTTATTCCTAGTGTAGATAGGTTGGTGGGGGGATATTTTTAGTGGGTTGGTAGTGGATTTGGTGGGCTGGTAAATGACGTAGTGGTGGGCTGGTAGGGGAAATATTAACTGGATGGTAGACGTGGTAGGGGAAGCGGTGGGGGAAATCCTGACCAAGTCGAGGGGGGCCTTAATGGTGAAGATAGGGAATTCGTGGGTCCAGATTTCTTTAGGCAGACCGAAACTTATCTTAAATTTGTCTTAGCTGAAGTAGGAAGAACTATTACGTTAAGGAAATTATAAAATCTCCAAGATGGATGGTGGTATAGTTAGTGAGAAAGGTGAATAGCAAGAGTTAGGACGAGAAGTTAAAAGTTAATGAGTAATTATCCTCGTTGTATATGTAAGGTGAGTCAGCTGTTGTTTGAAGATGATTCTGTTGTTTTTTGTTTTTTGTTTTTTCGATTTGGGAATAAAATACAGAACTTATTAAATGAGTTTGGAAGAGAAATAAGATAAATTTTATAGTGAAATGTGAAGAAAAGAAAAAGGAGATGAAAATATATAGAAAGGGAGACAGGGAGAGATAAATGAATGGCAATGGAGAAGAGAACTGGGTGAGTGTGTGTGTGTGTGTGTGTGTGTGTGTGTGTGTGTGTGTGTGTGTGTGTGTGTGCAAGTATTATTTTCCCATGAGTTCAATAACACAACAGAACACATTTCACACCACTGAGCGTCATTAAATACCAATCAATGAAGGAGAAGTTGTTAGATTAGATAGTTTTTGGTTGTCCTGTTATTAAACGGGATACAGTTTTGAAAGAGTAAATGTATATATGATAACAGCAAGACGTCATCAAAAGAAGATTCGCCAGTGAGAGGACTTTTAACTTGATATGGTAAACAACGCAATCCCGGTGACAGTGAGAGGCTAATCCTTTTTGATACTCTTAGCCTTGAACAGATAATGCAAGCTATGTATTTTATTAGAGTTAGCACAGTACAGCACGACACAGCACGACACACACGGCACAGCACGGCACAGCACGGTACACCACGACACATTACAGCACAGGCATATTGACATCTGCTGAGCGGTTGCGTTACATCGGGTAGTCTGGGTGGGTGAGTTGAGCCTATAGGTGGTAGTGTAGATACTCCCTGGTAGTGTAGATACTCCCTGGTAGTGTAGATACTCCCTGGTAGTGTAGATACTCCTTGGTAGTGTAGATATTACCCAATGGTGTACAGTAGATAATGTCTGGAGGTGGTGCAGGAGTGGCCGGCTGGCGAGGGAGTTAAAGGGGATAAATTCATTAAATTTTTTAGATAATACCGGGTGATTATATTGTGTTTTTTCCCAGCATGTACGTATACCCTATGTGTGTGTGTGTGTGTGCGCGTGTGCGTGTGTGTGTGTGTGTGATGCTACATAGAGTCATTCCGTGCCCAATCACCCAATAGCCAAGAAAAGTTTTAGTTGGCCATCTCTTAAGTTTTATGAAATTTCACCAGTAATCAAACTCCCAGTACCAAATTGCAATTATTTATTAATTATATTTGATTGAATTTAGGGAACATGGCACCTAGTTACGTGCTCTCAACTCCACCAAATTGTTTCAGAGAATGTTTGAATACTAATGCTATTCTCTTGTATTGAGGATATTAAGCTATAGTGTGTTATAGGACCCAATTCATACCTGTGATCTTGCACCTAAACTTCTATTAAGCATTAGTAGTTACTAACACTTTCTTTCAGATTAAATATTGTTTGAATCAAAGTGTGTATCTAGGTTCTCACTTAAATGAAAGCTTATCTGAATTAAGCTTAATATTAAAATATACCAAGTGTCCAGGTGTGGAAAGAGAGCAGAAAGTACGCAAAAAATGTGTCCTTCTACCAGGGATGATTTGACCTTGTGGGCAGTAACTTAGTGTCATGAGGTTTTATTAACATTTATATATTAGCTGTATATAAACCCAAGCTCCGAGTCTCTGTTTTAGTTTATATCATTCTACTTTAAGCTGTACAGTCCACCCACTCCACCTATAAGCCACACAGACTATTGGGTAGTGGGCCTCACCTCTCTGGGATTTCACGGATAAACAAATTTCTCCTCGAGGAAAAAATACTGTTGGTTGAGGAAAGATATTTAGTGTTGCATCTTCCTTGCTGGTGTAAGTGTCTAGATAAAAGTGATATGAAATACTTGTGTTGTAATCTTGAGCATTAACTCCAAACTAATATGACAAATACGTCTTTTATTTACTTTTTTTCCTAAGTGCCAAGTCGACTCTAATGACTTCAGGTGTAATTATTCTAACTTTATTTCCCAGCCAGCGACACACCCAAACTTTTGATACCCCGAAGCTTTTCTTTCAAAGTATGCAAACTATTTCTGTCGCTGCAGCTAACATGTTACTTTTTGATTCATGATTCTAGCCATGATAGAATTAATTTGCTTCTGTAAATTCCCTTCCCGGTGTTCGCGTGTAGGAATATCTCACATGTTTGAGAAATTCGATGCGTGTGGATGATAAGGAACAGACAGACAGACAGACAGACAGTGAGGGACGGGAAGCCTGGAAAGTTGAGTGAGGGAATCTTGACAAGGTCGACTTTCATTATCTATATAACCTTCTCGATAATTGGCCTCAAAAAAAAAAATCTAGAGCTGGTCATCTGAAACTAACTACCATTACTCACTATACTACATTAAATCTCTCTCTCTCTCTCTCTCTCTCAAAACTTGCTACAGTAACTCTTGTCATCATCCAGAGACCTTTCCCCTTATGTATACTAAATATATGTATCACTCTTTTTCTCATGTATGTGTTGTTCTCGTGTATGTATCGTCATGTATGTGTTGTTCTCGTGTATGTATCGTCATGTATGTGTTGTTCTCGTGTATGTATCGTCATGTATGTGTTGTTCTCGTGTATGTATCGTATATCCTTGACCACCAGCTGTAATTTTATAAAACCTCCCTCACTTTTGTTTGTGTTTCAGCGTTGGTTACTGGTTTAAATATCCATCCCTGAAAGTCTCTCGTGTTTTAATTGGTTTAGCTTAGTAATTGAGGGATTCGTCGGTGGTTTTTTGTTTTGTTATTTTATTATTGTGGGGAAATCTTTACATGGACCAAACGACCCTGTAGTCTAATTTGCTTTAGAATTGTTATGTTTTTGGGTGTTTTCCTTTAGATGTTTCCTCGACTTGATGTTATATTTTGTGTTTTTAGATTTTGTAAACATTTCAGTGTTGAAAAATGTTATCAGTAACCTAACCTAACCAAAGGATGTAAATAAAGAAAAAGTCTCCTTCATGCCGAGGAAATCTTAGAAAAAAAATACATTATGAAAGTTTGCAAAATTCATGGGAAAAATTAAAAATTGGCAAAAATGGTGGGAAAATAATCTTAGTTTAGGGAAGAAGAAAGCGTGTGGCTGAGGTAAGATGGGAATAAATGTTTTCTCATGGAAAATTAGGAAACTTTTGTGAGAAATATAGTTTAAATCTGTTTGCCTATTTTTCAAGAATTATGCAAAGTTGCAAATTTACGTTCTGAGAGGGGAGGAGGGGGAGGGGGGGGGGGGCAGGAACAACCCCCCTCACCCCTATGATCGCCTCTGTATTTTAGTATCCATATTACTTGTGAGCATTTCAGGTATTTTTAATTTATTTTATTTTATTTATTTATTTATTTATTTATTTATTTATTTTATTTTTTATATATTTATTTATTTATTTTATTATTTATTTATTTATTTATTATATGAGTGAGATCCTTGTTCTGCATTATCCTAAGACTGTGGCAACCTGCAGACGAGATGGTTCACAGTCTAGGATAATAAATAGTCTTGTCTCCTCGTGTGTCTTGCCTGGTTCACTGTTCTCTTGTTCTCTTTCGTTATTTACTTTACCTTACCGCATGTTAACCCAACAGACATTACAAGCTGATGGTGGTGTATCATTTGTGACGAATTGTGACGAATTTTATACATGTTAGCATAGTCACCAGTCTGATAGATCAAGTCATTAAGCACCACACATCACCACACCTACCACACACCACATCCTACCACACACCACATCCTACCACCACCAACCTATACAATTCTAGCCCAGCCAACACCACTTCCCACACCCTTATTCCACCTCGTGCCAACAACACAAGAGGGTGAGACTGACCACTCCCCCCCCCTTCCCCACCCCCACCCCCTCCCCACCCCCCTCCCCACCCTCTTAGTCTGGGTCTCCGAATTGTTCCCATTTCAGATTCCATCCACAGCTCTTGCTTGAGATGCGGCTTTGGAACGTTGTGTGCGTGTGTTGACAGCGCTCCACTGTTGCTGACACTGACTACTATCGTTGCTGACACTGACTATTATCGTTGCTGACTACTGCCGTTGCTGACACTGACTACTACTGTTATTGATACTTTACTACTACTGTTGCTGACTACAACCGTTGCTGACAGATTACTACTACCGTTTGCTGACACTGACTACTACAGTTCTGACGTTAACCAAGTTGTATGTAGCTGCCACTCTTGCTGACACTAGCACCCCTACTCCGGCTGCTGACGTGTTTCATTTGTTATCAAAGCTGATAGTTTTACACACCGCTGATTCTGATGCTGACGCTGCTAATGTTGTTACTCTACCCGTACTAATTGACGCTGCTACCGATGTTTGCTTTTGCTGCCGTTACCGATGTTGCTGGTACCGATGTTTGCTGTTACCGTTGTTTGCTGTTACCGTTGTCAATGTTACCCTTTTCCTCTGTTATTTCCCGTTTGATCCTCCGCCCCCTTCCTCCCTCTCCCTTCCACCCCCCACTCCAACCCTCTCCCCTCACCCCACTCCCTCTCCCCACTCCACCTCTCTCCTCCCTCTATTACCTTGCCTCTCGTCTCGCATTCCAGGATGGTCGTGACCACCTCGCCACACTCTCCTCCTCTACCTCTGCATAAAGACAAGTGGCCGCTCAAGAACGTGTCGGGTCAGGGAAGGTTGTGGTGGTGGTGGAAGTTGTGGTGGTGGAGATTGTGTTGGTGGAGGTTGTGGTGATGTAGGTTGTGGTTGTCTAGATTGTGGTTATGCAGATTGTGGTTGTCTAGATTGTGGTTGTCTTATACGAGGGGGCGATCGAATAGTTTTGCAATTCAATGGATAAACCAATGGGGTGAAAATAATTCGTAAATTAAATATATACCCCAAGTCCACAGTCTATTCATGGCTGGTTAGGTATCGAACAACTGAACCGCTCTGAAATTAACAACCGAGATCTAACCCCAAGTGGCAATTATCTCCTCATGAAACCTGAAGTTCCTGTACCACCACTGACACTTATTTCAGGATGATACAAGGGAACTGAGGGTACTTTATTATGAAGGAAATACAGTAAATGTATCTTTATAGTATGTGTTGTATGAGTATGGTGATAATAATGTGTCATATGATTACTAATGACTGTTATCTTAATTATATGTACGAATGATAAGGATGATTTCTTTGTCTATGTGCTCTTGGTGGTCGTAATAATCATCCTTGTGTTTATATTGACAGCTTTTTCTCCTCTCCTACAGGTGCCTCCCACCACTGCCGCCGCCCTCCCGTGTGCCTCATTCTGCAGAAGATGGTGTTCTTCCGTTGCCGCCTCCAATGACACCTTAAAACCAGGTACTAATTAATGTGTTACCTGTGTTATCTGTACCGGAGAGAACCTGAGTTAAGAGACAGGTGTAGTGGTTCTTTTGTCGCCATCAGTAGCTATAGTTCTTCAGCCTTGTGGTTTCCTAAGAAGTGTTTCGTCAAGAGTAAGTTAGGTTAGGTTGGGTTAGGTTAGGCGACTCTTGCTGTCATTAGCTCTTGTTAATGTAGACAAAACAGTATGAGATAAATCAAGAGAGAGAGAGAGAGTCTAGGTACCTCTCTTGACTACAGTGGTGTTTGAAATATATTTTTCCTTCATATCTATGTGTACAGCCTTCAGCTCTACTCTTAATATAACTCATAATAAACTATACTGTACAAAATAAAGTCATAATTTACTGCTCAGGATTGTGATTATTATTATTTTATTTTTTACTTTATTAGATGTATTTACTAAACGGCTCTGATCATCTCTCCTCAATGATGTTGTTTATGAGAGTTTATTAAATTTATCAAGATTTATATCACAGGATGTATGAAGGAGATGAGGAATGGAGAAATAATAGCACCTGATTAAGTTCATAGCGCTACAAGGAAGGTCGTGTCCTCCTAGTAATAGATTATAATACTAGTAATAGATTATAGTACTAGTTACTATACTCTATTTACTGTTTGGTTCATAATATTAATAGTTCAAGATTATATTTACACTATATACATGAACCGGACAGCTTATTATAATTATTAACTTGTCAAATATACATGTAATCATGATAAAATGTAACTACATTTAGAATCTAACTATATTGCATTTCATTTGGCATTGAATGTTCGTGTCAGATTTCTGTTTTAATATACTGTAATTCTTTTTTGTGAGTAGTAGAGTATGAACTGTCTCATCACCTGATGTAACCCACAGGAAGTATATCTTAGTCAATGAAATCATCGCACATTTCATATTTGTTCAACATGTACAGTTGCCACATCTTATCACTGGTACATAACCTTGTGAGATGTGGCATCACTGTTTGTTTACATCGTAGTGAAATTAGCAGAATGGGCAGAACTATCCTCGCTATGGTAACCAGACTAAGGATGCTAAATAAGCAGCCTCTCCCCCGTATCTATCTGTGAATATAGATTATCAACTAGAACGTCATTGGTTCCTTATCTGTTGTTTGGTGGGCGGTGGTGCCGCATCTCTCAAAACACACCAGGTACTGTACTCCTTATAAATAGAGGCAACTGTGTGTGGTGCGGGTGTACAAATAATGGTAAACAGTTAAGATGATAAAGGATAACCCAAGAAAGCTTTCATTATTTACATTGAGATCTGACTCCTTAATGTATAGTAGTGTTATATCTCTTTCCAGTTATTTGTACTGTAAATCCCTCATAAACTTTGTTGATGATGTGCATTTGTTTTAAAAATTCCAGCCATTTACCATTTACTTAACCGTACCTTGAAATCTGATCCATTATCCGTTTTCTGTTTTGAGAGTTGTCATAGAAAACTGGTGTACTGTATGGCGTTCTAACGGGGTAACTTGTACGTTTTATGTTTTCGTTACTTACAGTGTGATAAACTGTGTTATTATTTACTAAAGTCTCTCTTGGCCAATCAGTTCGATATTATAGTAATTGTAATAATATATACTCGTACAATTGTAGACACATATCACGAAGGAGGAATATTTATAAACAAAATAGATATTTACGGAAGTGTGCCGTAGATCGAATGGTTTTAGCGAGATGTTAAATTCCTCCTTCATTCATAACCATGGCGCCATAAATTACCAAGACTGGATACTATTGGTACTCATGACAACAGTTCCCAGGACTAATGGACCGCTGGACTCTCATCTAATAGGTCCTAGCCTAACCTAATACATAAGCTCACATCAAGGACCCATTAGGACTTGGCCGCAGTTAGGATAGGTTTAGGGCCTACAAACTTAACCTAACCTAACCAACCAGCATTTTTCTCAGGCTTCTGGTTAATCCGTTGTTTGATTTTATAAACTTTGGGGAATAAATATGTGGTCGGTGATGTTAGTTGTCTTGAGTAACTGAATATGTGAGTTAATGGCAGCGTTATATGTTGGTTCAATGGGTCGTGTTCCTTGACTTTATGAGTTCTTGATATGGCGGTTTCGTCTCTAGTAAGTGTCTCACGAATGAAGGAAGTTAGAGGAGTGTCTCACAGTATAGACAAAATATTGAGCATTAGGAAAATATATAGCAATTATATCCCGTATTTCTGCCCCAAAAGAGGAAAACTAAAATAACAAAAACTACCCCAGAGAAAATGAAACGATTAAAACCACAAGAACTAAAAAAAAAAAAAAAGTACAAGCAAAGCCGCCTAACCCAGAGAGCAGTCAAGGCCTAAGGGAACCGAAGCTCTAAAGTGTATATACATTCAGTGAATTCGTGAGGAGGTGATAAACTTTTGCCTTCCCGGAAACAGTTGAGAGGAGTTGGTGGGAATCCTGAGTGTTGGGCCCTTCTCCCACTCTCTCATTTTTGCTAAGTTGAGTGAGGTAGTGGGAGGAGGGGGGGGGGTGAGAAGAGACGGAGAGAGGGAATGAAAGACTTGAGGAGAGGGGGAGAAGTTGGAAAGAGTATAAAATGGGATAGTGAGAGAGGATAGAGTAAAGGGAGGAAGGATTAACTAAGGGAAATTAGAGAAGAGAGAGAGAGGAATGGGGAGTGTGTATGAATGGAGAAGTCTAGGTAAGGGGAAATTAGAGGAGAGGAGGGGGGATTAATGATTGGGAAATATGTGGGGGGGTGGGAGGTGTATGGGGGGTGGGAGGTGTATGGGGGGTAATGAGTGACAGTGTAAGGAACTCATAAGCACAAGAACCTGTTTGTTGGTACTTATAACGTGACCACCTCTCTCTCTCTCTCTCTCTCTCTACATTAAACCAAATACTAAAACGTAATTCTACTCATTAACTTTATTTTTGTTCTTTAAGAGTTTTTTTTTTCTTTTGTGTTCGGAATATAACTTTTAAATGTTCTCGGTAGTTTAGTTCACAAGTGCTAAAGATTGATTTACTTTTTAACTTGTAGATATACTTTTACTTTGAGGAGTTTATGTTTACTTTAAATAACCTATGAAAAGTTTTTGAGTTTATTGGTTTTTTTGGGGGGAATAATTTGTCTTCCTGTTTTTGTTTTCTTTCGAGTTGATTATTTTCTTGTTTATATTTGTTTGGGGGAGGGGAGGTGGGGTGGGGAGGTGGGGGGGGGTTGTAAGTTGTTGAGTGAGGAAATTCAATTTTTTTTGGTGAGTTGATTTAATATACATGATGTTTATTGGGGTAGTGGTGGCTGCCGAGCTTAGGTTAAGGTCGTCTCGGATTATGTGATAAGATAAGAAAACAATAATAATGGTCAACTTATTTATATCCAAAGAGACAAGATGTTATTATACAGATTTAAGACGGATGGTGATTGGGTGATTTACCTTCGTTATCTATTTAAGACGGATGGTGATTGGGTGATTTACCTTCGTTATCTATGACATTCACCTTGTATTCCTTACCGTAATTATTAATATTATACCATTTTTTTCTTGTTAAGTTTTCAAGTAACATTCAGTGAGATGATTTTTTTGTATGTCTTATGTGTGAGGACATACTTTTGGCCGTCATAATGAAGTAACTAAGTTCAGCTGTACAGTCACTTAAAAAAAAAATATCTATACAAAATTGTGTTGAAAAAATATGACACAATGAACGAAGGATTTTGACAACCCTACCGAGACAACAGGAGTCATAGTGTTCATTCTGGAATTCATCGATCACCCAAAGTACAGATAGTTTTTATTGAAGTGACTGTATATTGCTTTTTGATTATCGATTAGTATTGTTCTAAGTAAATGTTTATATAATGAATCCTCTTATTTATTTCTTGACATCACAGTGTTTCAACCATCAACTACAGCTGTATACAACATAAAGTAACCATGGCTGATCTGAACAATATATCCTTCCCTCCTTGCCATATTTTATTCACAAGACCTTGATGTAGTCTACAATATATCCTCCAGACTGTTGGTGTTAGTTTTAAGTCCATAGGTAACTACAAGTCCTTTTACACCGTTCTAAGGGATAATATTTGACCCTGGCGACACAAACACTGGTGGAGGTGGAGACAATACCAGCGAGTAATACCACCACGAAAATTTCCACCAACCTTGTGTTATTTTCTCATAGACAGTCACTCATGATGCTCCTGCTCCTGTTGTTGTCTTATCTGATAATTCCAACTTATATGTTATAATTATGTAACCTGTATTTGAGCTTCACTGTTGGTCCAGTTTTGATCTGTTAGTTAAAAGATTTCTCGTTAATGTGTTAATGTACCGGTAAGCAAGATATATATGTGTGTGTGTGTGTGTGTGTGTGTGTGTGTGTGTGTGTGTGTGTGTGTGTGTGTGTGTGTGTGTGAGGCTTAAATTGTAACTTTATTTATGGGGAAAATATTTGATAAAGTTGTCTGTTTTATTACTATTTTTTGTATGTATGCATGTATGTATGTATGTATGTATGTATGTATGTATGTATGTATGTATGTATGTATGTATCTACTTCACCTAATGCTGATTCGTATAGCTAACAGCATTTATAATAGCTTGAAATAAGAGTAAATTTATATCATTATGTACATTAAATTAAACCTTATAATCTGCGGTAGGCAACATATATAATAATAATAATAAAAACCTATATCACAAAATCAATGGCAACCAGAAACATATAACTCGTAACATGAAATAATTTTATATGTTTTTTGTGTTTATATAAGAGAGCATGTAGCACAGAGGGGGGGGTGTCGAGGCTGAAGGAGGGGGTGGTAGTTAAGCAGTGGGTCCCCTCGCCTTGTGGGTTAATGAATTCAGTTTCTTCTGGTCCTCTAAAACCTATTGCACTATGTCACTGAAAACTGCTGAGTGGAATATGTTAGGGAGGTGGGGGGTGTGTTAGGGAGGTGGGTGTGTTAGGGAGGTGGGTGTGTTAGGGAGGTAGGGGTGTGTTAAGTGTTAAGGAGGTGAGGGAGAGGTTGTGTGTCTGAAGCGGCAGTTATGGACGGAGGGTTTACACATCACAAGCTTTGTAGACCAACAACGGCATGCGAGACGTCACACCCAGCACTCCTCGACACCCACCACTCCTCGACACCCAGCACTACTCGACACCCTCCACTACTCGACACCCAGCATTCCTCGACACCCTCCACTACTCGACACCCAGCACTCCTCGACACCCACCACTCCTCGACACCCTCCACTACTCGACACCCAGCACTCCTCGACACCCTCCCATGGTCGACTTAATAGGCTTGGTGAACAGTGTTACACCCAGGCTGAAGGAGGATGTGGTCGGGTGAAGTCATAGACGACGGTGTTGTCACCTTCATTGCGCCACCTGACGGTCTTGCCTGGAGAAGAATCGTCACTGCAGCGGCTGTCGGACAAACCAAACTTGTTAATGCCGTCCTGTGTTGCGTTGCGTTGCGTTGCGTTGTGTTGTGTGAAAACTGACACAATATAGTTCTTCATGCTTTTAACTTTGGATTTTGTACACCGGACAATTATCTCAACACAGAAATAGATGCACAGGAATTTTAGTTTAACCAAAGATACAATTAAGATTATGGCATCATGTAGTCTGTGTTTAATTATGTGTGATATTACAAAGAAGTTAATATTGATGGGTGACTTATGGTGTATGGGAGAATGGCATCTTGTGTATGTATTTCATCAGCATCACTCTCACTGTCATCACTATTAAGTAAAGATGATGACTCACCTGCCAGGGGAAGAAGCTCTGGAGTCATCTGAAGCAGCAGTGTCAACGGTGAGGGCGGCGGGGCCGGTGTTGGCTGGACGCTTCCTCAACACTCCCACGATTCTCGGCGCAGCCACGGGTCCTCTGTACACACACATTCGTTATTCGTTACACTCATGGGACTTTTAAGTGTCTAATATAACGAATCCGAGCTGTTCAGTGAGACCTGTGGTGCTGGGAACTGACAAAAGGGTCGCCGTTTCTGATGAGCGAGGTGTCCACATTTGCTGGTCATTATTGAAGGAAATGAATAGTGAACTGTTTGAGACTAAAAAAAAAATAGTGCTCACAACAAGGTATTACTTTTGTCCATACTCACGATTTTGACATTTTTTGTTGTGTAGATCTGGCGGCGTTTGGGGAGAGAGAGTTGCGTCCTGACACAGAGAGACCCGATGCTGGGAGGTTGTTCCTGGAGACCTGCAGACCACTTGGGGTGGTCCTGGAGTGCTTGTTGAGAGTGCCGTCGTGACCACGGGGGCGCTGACGTGGGCCGAAGAAGATAACGGTAGTCCCCACAGACCTGATCTTGGCCATGACTGCGGGGTCGATCCACTGGTGGGGAGAGAGAAGTAGAGAGTGAGAGATTGAGAATTTGTGAGAGATAACTAGAGACAGTGGAAACATATTAAGAGAGACGTCAAGAGATTTATTAGGAAAGGTTTAGTGAGAGGTATAGGAAATGACTTACGGGAGGCGTGTACAAATTGAGGGAGAGGCAGTGAAGGTCTAGTGAGGGAGGTGACTGATTAAGGTATTAGTGAGGACTTTCTGCGTTGCGTGTAAAAGAAGCTACCGACGGAGATGGCGGAGGTACAGTGACAAGTGGAGTGATTGTGGAGTGTGATGGGTAAAAATATCATGTTAACAGAATAACAGAGAAAATTATCAAGAGTAACTTGTTGTCCCCAAAATAGTTTCAGTAAAATACGTGTTGCCATAAACCCTGACGGTGAACACAAAACAATGGCTTAGGTCGTAAAGGTTTGACGGCGGTGTTGAGCACTAGGGGCATTAGGCGAGGATTTAGAGGCTCGACCATTATCACGACGTTGTGGAGACTTAAGTGAGGAAAAACTCTTCTTACTGTTTTGTGGTGGAAGCCAGGATAGGCCGGGTTACTGCAGCCTCTGATACTGATGATAAATTGCGACGTTTGGGAGGGAGAATTGTCCATGATAATACGGTTGGCTCGTCTCTGAGCAAAAAAAGCAAAACAAAAAAACAATAGTGTGTGTTTGTGAGCGACCGAGCACTCGTATAGCAGCGTTAATCTGAAGTTACTTCCCTCCAAGCGTGTATATGTGTACAGTATGCATGTGTGTGTGTACAATATATGTAATCTGATTATAAAAAGGAGTCACCATTCAGAGAAGTCGGGGAGTGGCGGCCTCACATCACACCTCACAATCTTGGTCACAACAATACCAAAATTCCGCAACTATCAACCGATGGTCAGGCTGACAGGGATATATTCCCCTCACGTCAGTAAAGAGCTTCACTATTTGCGGGGAAGGCCGTGGCACTGTGGGAGTGGCACCCTTAACTCTCCTGCTTGAACGTGTGGAAGATCAGGGAGACCTTGGCACTCCCGCCTTCCTCCCTCTCTGAACAGTCACCTGGAGAGACTGTGACACTCACGGCTCCTCTGTCGTGTCATAAGAGAGCCCCCAGAGGCACTGTGATGCTCCCAACCTCTCCTGATGGTCCCAGACATTGTCGTCTTCATGACAGACTCCAGTCACACTGTTGACGTCACCTGGGTCTCCAGGCTTTCATTTTCCCTGAATTCTGCCAAAATACTTCAAAGGGAATTTCTTCTGTCTTGAATGTTCTCTGATGTGTGAAGACCGACAACAGTACAGATGTGGACGGTCGGTCTGTTGTTGGTGTCTTTACAAAATTCCTGTCATACATTTCCATTTTATTTCACTTTAATCAAGACTATGGATTAATTTCGTAATACTGAAGAAGACTTGATAATTATGATGAACCTTCCTCAGTGTATTGAACATGAAGCAACCGCAGCCTGTGGCATTCTGAGTGTTGGTGCAGCACACGAGGAGCGATAAAAGGTGCACTACCATGGAAGCAAGATGAAGCTCCTGCAGTATGTGACACGAGGACACTTGTTGAGTTTTCAAGAGTTACGAGTTCCTTTGAAGTATACGTGATAAAACATGAAGACTAACAAGAGGTGTAGTGAAGATGTGCGTACCCTGAGGTGTGATAAAACTGCCTCAAGTTAAACACACTGATGAACTCTGAGCAAAACTGAATAAAATGAAAAAGTGAAGATTTTTTTTTTTAATATATCATTTTTGTGGTGATGTTGTGGTCAAGTTTATAGATAACGAAACAACACAGTGAGACCTCCATATAACGGACTTCTGTATATAAAATCCGTTAGATGGGGGAGTTCTTAACAGACCCTTGATATAACGCACTTTCATACCATTATAATCCGTTAGATGGGGGTTTCACACATAACGGACCCTCGATATAACGGACTTGCATACCTTTATAATCCGTTAGATGGGGGTTTCACACATAACGGACCCTCGATATAACGGACTTTCATACCTTTATAATCCGTTAGATGGGGGTTTCACACATAACGGACCCTCGATATAACGGATTTTTCTCTTCATAAAGTCCGTTAATATTGTAAAGCACAGCGCGAGAGAGGACACAGTAGTACAGTATTTCAAAATGAGAGAGTAAATGTATTTTAAAATGATGAGGTTCTTGTAGCGTTAAGTATAATGAAGCTACAACATGAGGTACTGTATAATGAAGCTACAACAAAATGAGGTAATGTATAATGAACCTACAGAATAATAAAGGTACTGAACTCTTATGGAAGCTACTACAACATGAGGTACTGTATCATGAAGCCACAACATGAGGGACTGTATAATGAAGCTACAACAACATGAGGGACTGTATAATGAAGCTACAACGTGAGGTACTGTATAATGAAGCTACAACAACATGAGGGACTGTATAATGAAGCTACAACAACATGAGGGACTGTATAATGAAGCTACAACATGAGGTACTGTATCATGAAGCCACAACATGAGGGACTGTATAATGAAGCTACAACAACATGAGGTACTGTATCATGAAGCTACAACATGAGGTACTGTATAATGAAGCTACAACATGAGGGACTGTATATTGAAGCTACAACATGAGGTACTGTATAATGAAGCTACAACAACATGAGGGACTGTATAATGAAGCTACAACATGAGGGACTGTATAATGAAGCTACAACAGCGTGATCTGCTTTAACTAGACGGTTGAGGAAGGAATACCAGAATGATATATACTGTATTATTTTTTGTTGCTGTTTAAATACTCGGTGAGGACCAGACTGTCAGGCCGGATATGGGGTGGAAATTGGCAGGAGGTCAGATAGGGTGGTCCATCGTTATCTCTCTATCAGCTCCTGGGGTCTCTCTCTCTGCTGGGATGAATGTTCCGTTTGTTTAGCCTTTTCCACCTCCTTCACTTCCTAACTGCTGCACTAAATTATCCATATTGTTTTTGTTTTAGCTATACAATATGAACTTTCTTTATCTTTTCGTTTATAACACTGTCTTCTCTCCCTCCCCCCGTCCCCCCTCCCCTCCCCTCCCCTCCCCCTGTACTGGTCTCTCTAAACTTGACGCAATAGTCTGGCTTCGAATTTCAATATTCCAAACATTGAAAGTTATTCTGTTTGCCGCAGTGCGTCTATTTGGTACAGTGTTCAAACTGGTAACAACATCACACTATTGTTCCACTGTGTATGTTTTGGTTCCACTTTTTTTATTCCATGAGTTTTAGTGTTATAAAGAAATTGGCCTGGGAGGGAAAGGCACACAATAGGCCTACAACACACAATAGGCCTACAACACCCTGAAGTAAATATCTAGGAAAGTTTCACTACTCTTCCTCTCATCCTCAGTGATTTAATTCGGGCTACAGAAAAAAGCCGAGGAGGGAGTGGGGTGGGGTAGGGTTAGGGTGGGGTGCATCCGACAAGGTCAAATCAAAACAGACAGACAGACGGACGGAAATAGAGTTCTTCTGTTGGTCGGATTACCTCCACTGTCGGTTTCAGGATTTTTTTTTACCCAGATTTCTGTCTTTTCGGGCGTAAAGGTCATTCTGAGGCTCGCGTGTTGCTTCTATTGAGTCGTATTTTGTTAACAGCATCAAGTTACAACGTCATTTAGTTGTTCTTATACTGAGAGATGGTTGTGTGTTGTGAAGATGATGATGGCGGTATAAGAGAGTAGTATGTAGGTCTAAATATTTGTTTACTCATTCTATTAATTAAAAAAAAGGGATGAATAAATATTGTACTCGGGAAATTTGGCAACTTCGGCCGGTAAACAAAACAGAAACTACGGTCAATACGGTTAAAAAAGGAAAAATAGAAACCTCAATTGTGAAAAGATTTTACCAAGAATTTATAGAACTATCCCTCGATCTGTAGACCATTAGTGCTGTATGTTTCCCCCCTGGCTGTGAGGAGGATTGAGAAGAAAATAAATAAATATAAACTTGTGTATTGGAGAGTGATGGCTGGTCACAGAGCTGTATTGTTTACTCTTAACACGCTACAGCTTTATGCAAGAACAGTCAATACACCTCCTTCCCCTCCTCCTCCCCCACTCTGTTCCTCAGCATAACACCGAGGTAACTGGTCAAACGCCCCCAGTCCATATCTAGAGTACTCTGTCTGACATTGAACTGTATTGAAACTAGTACAACGTTTAGGGTTCAATGGTTGAGAGTGGACACGATGACGGACGAATAGGAAGCAGGAGGATGTGTGGACGTAACGGTTGTGGCAGTGAGTCTGGGCTTTGTGATGCCAGCAGCTCAGTGATAGACCAGAAGACTTACCAGCAGACGAGCAGACTGTCAGTATATCGGTGGTAGATGAGTAAATTAGAGGCAATGAAATAGGCGCCTCACCTTCAATAGGCCCGCTGTATTTTCCTCTGTGTGTGTGTGTGTGTGTGTGTGTGTGTGTGTGTGTGTGTGTGTGTGTGTGTGTGTGTGTGTGTGTGTGTATGTGTGTGTGTGTGTGTGTGTGTGTGTGTGTGTGTGTGTGTGTGTGTGTGTGTGTGATGAACCTACATGCAACATCCACGTACAAGATCGTTCACCATACAAGACCAGATGAAGTACCACTCACCTTGAAGCTGGGATCAGAGGCGTAAGCATCTAGGGCCCGGTACGTGGAGGTGGAGACTGATGATGCTGAAGAATTGTGGGAGTCATTGCTGAGGCCACTGTCCTCACTGATGTCAGAGGCCAGAGACTCTGTGTCAGACCGGTCCGTCGTCATCTCGCTGTGAACGTATTTACTGTTATGTTGTGTAAACAAAATTAGTCCTGGGAAACTAATGCCTTCTGGCAAAACAGGGAATACTTATAGGCCTAAGAAATGTCTACTTAGGTGAGCGAAAATCCTGAACTTTGACGCTAATTGGCTCACTAGTATTGTGTATTCTGCCAGAGAGGATAATGTTATATGCCAAATTATTTTGTGTTTTGGAACGTGTAAGTTAATACCGGGTCGCTAGACGGCTGCTGTTTATCACTAAATAATCCAAATATTGTTTTACCGACCAGCTGACGTGAGTGAAGGTCAGGCTTGTTCCTAAACTTCTGGCCAACTTGTTGTGTCTAACATCTCCAAATTGGCCAAGTTGTTAGGCATTTAGCGAGTGTATGTTGTATGGTGTCTGAGGGTTGTGAAATAAACACCCTTCTCTTTTTTTAAGCATGTTAGTGACGGTATAGTGTTATGGTAACGTAGGAGTGTTGGAGACTCAATATGGTGTTTATTGTTGGACAGTGATAATCGTAGCTCTAAAATTATCACAAGACATCAATTATTTATCAGTTATCATGAGCAGATTACAGGGAATTATTACCTCGGGTGTTGCGACTTGTTGTGGGTGTGACTTTTATGGTTGTGGTGGTTACTGGTTGTCTTATTATGGTTGGAGCCTTGGTGACTGGTGGTGCTGCTGCGGCTGTGAGAGTGGAAGGAGCGTGGGTCCTCCATCAGCGCCTTCTTCACGTTGAACCCATGCACGGTGGGCTTCCTGAGCGTGACTGGCTGGCTACCTTGAGTGGCTACCTGTTCCTGTTTCTGCAATTTTTGTAAAGGTTTATTTTGCTTTGATGAATCCTTAGGGAACGTTGAGGAGCAGAAGTTATTTTTGTGTGATTTCTGGTTTGTGTTCTTGGCAGTTGTAGATCCGACGTTGTTCTTGTGGTGGCTGGGCAGACGGGGCAGCGTGAGCGAGGAACCGATTCTCATGCGGCGGGAAGAGTCACTATCACTTCGGTCGAATCTTAAGATCTTGCTCGATGGGTTAGATTTGATGTCACGGAACCGACCTGCCAAGATGGAAACAATATAAATTAAACTTGTTGTATCTCTTTAACCCTTAAAATGACAACAACCTCCTTGGAGTGATGTTTGAGGACAGGGTTAGAGATTAAATTACCTCCCCCCCATCCCCGGCCCCACCCTCCGGCCTCCCTACCCTCCGCACCTCCACCTCCCGGCCCCACCTCCGAAAATACCTGCCACCATTTGGAAGTTTTCTTGGCTTGGCAAGTTTATGTCTAGGAGCAGCCATTTTAGCCTGAAACACTCCAAGACACTCCGTACTGTCTGTCTTAAAAAAAAATAGTATAAAAATACCTTATCTTCGTGATTATCATTTTCTAATTTTTATCATCTTTATATAATTATTTAAACTTTAGTGGGTTAACAAATTGAGATTAATTAATTTTGATATTCCCGTAACCACTGAAAATTCTTGGCTGGTCATTCATCTCAACCAGCGTAAGACAACTAACACTGGTCACTCAACGCTGCTGTATCACCATAAAAGGAGACCACACAGCTTTATCACCACAAGACTACAGTTGTGATGAAGACCAACACTGGTTATTGTGATGACTAAATGATGACGATGTATCATATAATGTTCCGGTACACAGGAAGGGGAGACAACGGCTTTAGCACTAACCAAGATCACACCAGGCGCGGAAGTGGTCGACTGGAGTATTGAGGTCCTCGAACAGCTGCTTGACGCTGCGCACGGTGTGTGGACGTGGTAACTCCTCCAGCTGCACCTCCTTGTTCCGGATGGTATAGGCAGCGCGCTTCAGCTGCAGCTCCTCCTCAGCCGGGTCCACCACCACCTATAAGTGTGACACATGTTACTCTCTGTCGTGTGTGTGTGTGTGTTGACAACGTTATTAGATTATTTGACGGTGGGGGGCTGCCAGTGGACCGTGGTAGGTAACTGTGTGAGTGTCAGGTGGCGTGTGAGATTGTTGATGCTTCAGCTCTCCAGGTGACTGTCACCCGCACACACAATTAAACTTGCACCAACACAACACACTCCCAAGTTTATTATTGACAACACATACTGTCATTTGGGTTGACCATTCGCATAATGTGTGATGCAACACACCATACGCTGTTAATAATGGCATTTCTTTATTATGAATTAGTGAATTGAATTGTGACATATTAGTGTTTTGTTGATATTATTTATATTAACTGTGCAACACATATATCACCTTCTGTTGAGGTGTTGAAACTGACGGTCACCTCCCGCCCCACACAACATGACTCACACACTCATGTGATGGGTGTGAAGATTCCTCTGCACACACACACACACACACACACACACACACTCTTCACCGGGTTCCCAGATTTACACCAGTTAGTTCAGCTCCACAAAACTTGCATCACACAGCATCCTCACATTATATCGTGACGGCTGGCTCCCCGAAGACACATCAATGATCATCCTACACTTACGTGCATTTCCTGGACTACTGAAACTTACATGTTACATTGATTCATATTGTGTAATAACTTTTGGTTCCTGTTTTACCCGTAACTCATGGTACTAGTCTTAATAAACACCTTGTATATTAATAATAGAATTTGAGGTTGTATACATTATTTAGTTCTTACTGTAGAGATATTGACAAAAAAAATTAATAAGCGTAAGAGGTGTCGCGGTGTTGGTAGTGAAGGCAGACGTAGGTACACAAGCTCACCCGTGGTAGTATTGTCCTCTTGGTGGGAACTGGCGGCGTCCTCTCCACTATCACCACCTTATTGTTCTCCAGTACCTCGTTAGCTTTGTACTCTTGTAGGTATTTAGCTTTTGTCGTCTGCTCCTTCTTAGCTCCCTGCTTCCCGCGTTCTTCAAATAGCTGTTTCCCATTTCTAGCGCTGAGGAGGAGATCGGTGTTGTCTTGTGCATCGTCAGCTTTGTCTTGTGTATCGTCAGCTTTGTCTTGTGTATCGTCAGCTTTGTCTTGTGTATCGTCAGCTTTGTCTTGTGTATCGTCAGCTTTGTCTTGTGTATCGTCAGCTTTGTCTTGTGTATCGTCAGCTTTGTCTTGTGTATCGTCAGCATTTTCCTGTATGCCGTCAGCGTTGTCTTGTATATCAATATTTTCTTTTGTATCGTCAGCATTTTCTTGAATACTCGTGTCATTCATATTATCTTCACTAGGCTCTATGTTTATGTCAGCGTTTACGTCAGCATTCGGACTTGTGATCGAGTCAGCTTGTGTGTCAGTGGAGGTCTCATGGGTGACTGTTGGGGGAAGGTCTTGAAGTTGGTGTTGTGGTTCATCAACTGTATCGTCCTCGGATTCCGTCGCAGTTTCTTGATCGTGAATGTCATCTGATAAATCATCCGTTTCTTTGCGATCCTCGATACTTGATTGGTCCTCAAGTACTGGATCGTCTTCATTGGAATGGTACTCTATCCCGGAGTCTTCTGAATCACACTGTGCTTGGCTGCTCTCAAGGATCCGCCGTCTGCTAATTGGTCGATTTAATGTGACGTAATTACTGCTGGCTGTGGATAACTCATCATCGTCATCCCACTCTGAACAACACGAATCCATGTCACTGTAGGAGAAGAAAATGTTTGAATGATGAGATTTATTAAGTGTTTTTATTTACTGTTTTGTTGACGTTAGTTGATTAGGCTAACAAATAGTATTATCTCTCGGTGGCCAATAGATGTACCAAAGCCTCGGGAAGGATATAAGGCGACCACAATATTATAACAAATATATATATATAAAAAGAAAAGTGAAGGTTGTAAGGTAATTCAGGGTGATGTTAAGGGTAATTGTGCTTCTTGTTGTTGCTGCTTCTTGAGACAGTTGGTGGGGGATGTGATTGAGTGTGTGTGTGGGGGGAAGATATATTCTACTCCTTTTCTCCTTTGATTTTTTTTGATAAGCGACAAAACAATACATACAAACACATACATCTCTGTGGTTGAACCTTAAAACACAACTAATGCTTTTAGCTACACAACGACAACCATTTGTTTTGATTTTTATAACGTAATGAATTCATGCTTGTGTTCTTCCCGTTTTCACCCCCATTACCTGTGTTCTCCAAATTTCCAGCCCCATTACCTGTGTTTTTCCCAGTCTCTACCTCCCAGTACCTGTGTTCTCCAAATTTCCAGCCCCATTACCTGTGTTTTTCCCAGTCTCTACCTCCCAGTACCTGTCCTCACGCCTCACAGGTGCTCATAACGCCCACTTGCGGTTTTTCGACAGACTCCAAACACGGAAAACTTACCAATGTGTATCACTAATCCTGAAAACCGGATTTTAACCTAGGGAAACTAACCTAGGGAAACTAACCTAACGTGTGGGGTGACTAGTGATTCTTTAAACGTTTCTTTCCTCTGTGCCACACCCTCTTCCCACACCCCCTACCCCCTCCCCAACCCATCTCCCCCTACCCTCCCCCTACCCTCCCCCTACCCCCGATATTCACCGATACAAACAAATACAACAGTTCAATCCATTTATGTGGTGTTAGTGTAAAAATTATACACTGAAATATATACATTTCATTTACACCTACTGTATATTTCATGACAGTGTACGGCTCTCGTTAGGAAGTGTGAGACAAACATTTTACATTTATATAATTCTATGTATAGTTTAACCCCCACGCTCCCTAACCCCCACGCTCCACGCTCCCCCCATGCTCCCCAGCGCCTGTACCCCTGGAATAACACATCGTCCCATCCCCTTCCCTCACTCACCTCCCCTCCCCCACCTCCGTTTTAGAGCACCTTGTGGGAAAAAGAAATAGGAATTATTGAACCTTATTCGTTTACCATATAATTATAAATAAAATATTATGCTGACGCTCTTGACAAATATATGTTGACACCGAGGTATTGAATTTGTCATCAGAACACACACACACACACACACACACACAGTCCCACCCCCTTACAGTCACAGCTACCCCCTAACACACACACACACACACACACACAAAACGTCATCTGTGAGGGAAATCGTCATCAGGGTTGACCGCAAGTATTTGACTCACTGTTATGTTTACTTAGTGATGAGTGAAGGGCGGTCATGGTGACTTAGGAACACGGCTCATTGATGCTGAGGGAAGACTTGGGTGTTGTGGTGGATGATTGTTGGGTGTTGTGATGGGTGATTGTTGGGTGTTGTGATGGGTGATTGTAAGTAAGGATTTAACTTTGTGTGTGTGTGTGTGTGTGTGTGTGTGTGTGTGTGTGTGTGTGTGTGTGTGTGTGTTTTGACGGGTTGTAGTATAAACATTTTAGTGTGGTTCTGTAGATTGGTTGTAGTTATGGTTGTATGAGTGTTGTTGATAATATGTGGTTGTGTGAGGGGAAGAAGACGTCATCGGTGGGGTGGGGAAGTTTCCGCCCCCCACCCCTCCCCCACCCCCTGCAGTCCTTGTCTCTCCTTCCTCGCGATATTTTTTTTTTTACATTTCACCCAAGCGCATCATAGGACATTTTAGGGAATCTTTTTTTTTACTGTATCCTTTAGTATTTTAGGGAATTATCTGACTATTGTTTGATGTTTTAGGGAATTTTCCGACTATCAATTGGTATTTCAGAGAATTTTATGCCAGCATCTTTGGATAATTTAGGGAATTTCTCGACTGTTTTAGGGAAAGTCTCGAGCGCATCAGTTAAAAGGGATTTCTCTCACAAATCTTATTACATCTCCAGGGAATTTCCAGAGCGTAATATAAATTATTCTCGGACATATTATGATCACATCCTGATACACGTTCATATATTTTTTCCCCCCGAGGGCAACGTGACGTCTTGGGTGGAATAAACTATATATTTAAGAAGGAACGAACAAAGGCTAGTGACGGAGGGTAAGGGGGGAAGGGGGAGAAGATTCAGGGGGAAGGGTAAAGGGAGTGAAGGAAAGGGGAGTTGGAGTAGGAGAGGATAGGTGCCGTGGCTAGTTGAGAAGTTAACATAAATTGTGATAAATAAAAAAATTAAATTAATCAGAATAAGGAAGAATGAAATAGGAAATGATAGTGTGTTTAGGGGCTACAATAGGATGATGATTTAAGTTACAGAATAAAAAAAAAAATAAATAAAATCTATTGAAACATTTGGGGAATATTGCTACATTTTATAGAGATGAGTGGTGCCCCCCACCCCTAACCCCCCACCTCCCCTTCCCCACTACCTATCACCTGTTTCGACATTTGTTTTATACAAGTGGGGCATTACTGGTGTGTGTGATAATGTGTGTGTGTGTGTGTGTGTGTGTGTGTGTGTGTGTGTGTGTGTGTGTGGCAACATATTTATTACACATATTTAATCCAGTTGTTTACTTTTGTTGATGAATGTGTGGTAGGCCTATAGTTTTTGCGCGTGAAATAGGCCTATATAGAAAATAGATAGCAGGGAGGTATAGGATGGACATGAATATTAGGTTTTTATTGGTTCATATCTGGCTAAGTGCTGGAACTAAGGATCTTATTGGTTCATATCTGGCTAGGATCTTAGACTATCTGGAAGGAGAAGATCAAAAGGGGCCTGAAGGATATTGTGATTAAGGAAACCCATAAAATAAATCCTTCCAGTCTCCTTTACGATCACTCCTGGATCCTACCTCACCCAGACAGTCTTTGAGGGGGGGGGGGACCAATTCGTCTCGTGATTGGTTTAGCCTCAGAACGGAAAGATGAGAGAGAGAGATCATAACCGGGTGTTGAAGAATTATGACTTACAGATGAAGTTGACTCGGCCAGTGTATTGTTCTAACATTATCACCTGTTGTCTCACCTGGTATCAAGAAGGGTAAGGGCCTCACAAGACACGGAGCGAATCCTTGAGAGTCCTCCTATGGTCCTCCTCCTCTCCCGCTTTCTCCTCCTTTCCTCCGCTGATGATCCTCCACCTCCTGATCTTCCTCTTCCTCCATTTCCTTGAGTACCTTCAGGGGAGCTAGGAGCCGACCGTCCTGCTGGGTAAAAAGCACAAAGTGGCGTCGGTGATAAGTGTGATCGAGGAAGAAAGTGTTTGTGGAAAGTGTTCGTTATGAAGTTGTTACTCTCGCTGGTTTAATACGTCTCTGTTGCCTCAATTCAATAAATTTAATGATCTTAATTCCCTGGATGTGGTGTTATAGGTGATGAATCATTGCCGGTATTGTGTTCCAGGACTGTGTTGGTTGGTGTTGCTTATGTTTATAGGTAATTCCTAGTTGTTAGAATTATAGGTTTTGTTGCAGTGTTGATCTTGTTCTTTTACGGCATTCCATTTGTGTTTATTAATGTGTTCAAGATCATTCAGGGAGTTAACTGAGAAAAGATCATCATAACTTAATCCTGAATCAATCACCAAACATAATACTTAGATAACTCTTAAGGTGAGGAAGAACCTAATATAAATGTTGGTTCAAAAGCTGAGAGTCAACCTCATATTATTTAATCTTTATAAAAAATAATTAAATAACTCTATTATTACTTGTCTTCTATATAATTGTAAATAAAAAAAAAATATTGGTCCTTGGGGGATAAAGAAATGTATATATTGTTGGTATAAAAGGCCAAGAGGTGAATGCCATCTTTATACTTTCACTTTATCCAATGGCTTCCCCTTGTGTAAGACTGAATCACCTGTGTCCCTGGGAGGAGGAATTTCTTATAGACTAACTTGACCATCAGTAGCAGGATATTGTTAACCCTTCACCTTTACTTTCTTATATTATGATCTTTTTCTTTTCATAAACTATTACCCACAAGATCGACATAATAATCGTAATAGAAACTTATAATAATTTATGATTTAATGTATTGTTAGGTTTACAACATAATTGGCTTTAAAATTTTCATTACATTGGAAATATTAAATAATTTCAAGGGCCTGTGTGAAGCCATCTGACATATTCAAACTGTTAATAAAAATAAATCAATAAAATTTCCCAATAAACTTGAATTAGATGTTATTACAGAAAAAATTAATTATGACTTGTTTTTAAATATAGACTAAAGACGATGATTTATTAAGGTCTACCATTCTCGCTGTAGTCGTCGTCATCATCATCGTCAGGGCATTCGTCATCGTCTTCCATAAGGGGCGTTGGGTCCAGGACGACCTCTGCGTTATCGTCTTCCTCCACGATTACCTCCAAGCTCACCCCGCGACGCATCCGGCTTCGGCCCAACATCCTCACACCTGTCAAAGTACACACCTGTTACAGTACACACCTGTTACAATACACACCTATAACAGTACACACAGGAAATATAGATAATTAATATAGGTACAGGTATAACGAGGAAGGTACAATACCACAGGTGTTTACTTTGTGTTGATACCGGATACAGGAACCAATAGAGGGCATTGATGTTGAGTATTAATGGTTATATATTTACAAAGTGACATTGATGATAAGTTGTTGTTGTCACTTAGTTGATTGGTCAATTTTCTGGGTTGAGAATGACGTAACGATCGTGTGGAGTCTTAGTGTGATCCTTAAGTGAAAAAAAAAATAATGATAACTAAATTGAACTCTTAGCGCATACCAACACAAGGTAAGTGGTAATGTGTTTCTCAGTTATGACCTTGACCTATGACCTATAATGATTCTTAATGCATAGCAGGTCAGTGGGGTTCCATTACTATTCATAATGAGCCTCAGTGTAGGTCAGGAGTGTAGGTCAGAAGTGTAGGTGTCGCCATTCTTGAGTTGTGGTGCCGAGTTAGGGAGACACCAGCCTGTACTCATATAAATAACCCGAGTTGTGGTGCCGAGTTAGGGAGACACCAGCCTGTACTCGTATAAATAACCCGAGTTGTGGTGCCGAGTTAGGGATACACCAGCCTGTACTCGTATAAATAACCCGAGTTGTGGTGCCGAGTTAGGGAGACACCAGCCTGTACTCGTATAAATAACCCCAAGCAACAAGAATAAGACGTGACCTAAACGACAATGATGGTTATTACTGAACACTTGAAAGCATTTACGTGTCAATCAGTTTTCTTTTGTTGTTTAAATATAACTGGATAAAGGGTGATGAAGGAAGAGGAGGGTGGTATTGGTAGGTGATAGGGGTGATAGCCGTTGTGGTAATGGTGGTAGAAGAGGATGGTGATGATGGTGGTAGTGTGTGACATCCTGATACTCCAACACAGGAAGTGTATTGTTCTTCACTCTGACTGATCCCCGCTGTGATAACACCCCTCCCACTACCTTCCATGGTGAGGTGTTCCTATATTATCTACCATGGTGAGGTGTTCCTATTATCTACCATGGTGAGGTGTTCCTATTATCTACCATGGTGAGGTGTTCCTATTATCTACCATAGTGAGGTGTTCCTATTATCTACCATGGTGAGGTGTTCCTATTATCTACCATAGTCTTGTCACCACTACCTAACCCTAATGCTATTGAGGCCTCTAATGGTCCTTGTAAAGCTGGTTAGTATGTACTGCAAGAACCGACAACATTTCTCACGAGTTAACCAAATTTCCCCTCCGATGTTAACAATGTTTATATATCAACTTAATGTTTATATGATCTTTAATTATATTTCTCTGCATATATAAGATGTTACTGGTGAGTGATAATTCGCTCTATATCCAAGTTTAGACATTAATTAAGTATTACGACTTTTATCAGCGAGTGTACACGGTGGCCAGACTACAGATCACATCCACGTCAATCATTTAGTTACACCGAGGAACTTTAGTGCTGTTGTCGAGTGTCCTTGTGGCTGTTGGATGAGGAAACGAGTCAGCTAGAGGCCTGTAATATTGACCTTGGTTACATCCTTAGTGGCTGGTGAGCGAGAAAATTATTAAACGTGTGTTGGAATGTGTGTGTGTGTTGTTTGTTATATTTGATGTTGCTGTGGTTGAGTACTATAGTTATTTTAGTAATCTGATGGAGTCTGCCTCACTTCTAACTTCATTGACCTGTGGCAGAGCTCATGACCTTTCCTTATTAACTCACCTGCACGACAACCTGTTATAAACGAGACCAACTTCCGACGTTGTGTAAGTCTGTTATCATCAAACATCTTGAACGTATGAAATAATTAAAGATAATACGTCGTAGTTTACTGGGTTTTTTAATAATATAGTTCCCATTATTCAGTCCAGGTATATATATTAATTAATACTTTACTTGTTATTAGAGAACGTAAGTTTGTATTTAGCTCCAGGAAAGGTTATGATGTTTGTTGAGAAGAATCCCGACCACCTCATGACCCCTAGACCAGATAATTCTTTGGCTTGAAGGCAATTGTCCTGATTGTGGGAACAGGTAAATGGGACGTCGTTTCCTCTGCTACCCTGATTGTTATACGTTGGTGTTGTACGAATTACTTACAGTTCGTAATATTTGTATGATATGATAAGAACTTGTAAATTTTTTGAGGTTAGATTAGGTTAGGTTATTATCGGGGTCAGTTCTCGTTCTCGCTGGGTGTTTTCTCCTGTGCGTCAGCTGTTGTTGTTGCTGCTAGCTACCTGACTCATTATTTCCTCCACTCGACGCTGCTGTCAGTGTTGATATTTACTACTGTGTGATGACAGTGTTTAGACATTACGTTATTATGCTGAAAGTATTGTTTCTTCGTGACGTGTTGTAAATTTAACAACATACCAGTAGATAAGTGTTGTATTTGTGTGATATTAGACTACACTGCGGCTGCGGCAAGGTGGGACCGCAGGAAGTGTGGCTGGCGGACACATCCACAACCAGACTCGCCTCAAGCGTCTTTCCACCGCATCAACTTGAGCCACCCTTACTTGTCAAGCCTCATCTGCCTTCAGCCGCTCGTGTCAGTAAAACAACAGATAGTCTTGGGGTCATTTTTTTTCTATGTAGTTAAATCAGTATTTGATCTCGTGACGTTTGAGTAAGGTGAGGCGGAGAAGTGAGGTGGTGGGCGTGGCCGGGGACTACAGGGCGTTGATCTTCATAAAGAAAACAAAGATGGGGTGGGGTGAGGTGGGCTGGGGGTGGGGGTGGGTGGTCTGGATGGGAGGGGGTGGGTTGGTAGGACACAAAGTCTTCCGGAAAAAATATTAATCCTTTTTTTAATTCACAATGTAATCCGGGGGTGGTAAGGGAAGGGAAGGGGGTGGGAAACTGGTGGGTGGCTTGTTAAATAACCCCCCACCGCCACACCCCGCACCTCCCCGCCCCCCTTTGTTCTTGATGTGTTTATTGTCATGGGTTACCAACTACCAGAGTACCTAGGGGTAGCCTTTGATGCTCGTTTATGGTTCTACTAACAACAACAACAACCACCACCACCACCACCACCACCACCTTCACGTGTCATTTCTAAACAAACATCATGTAACTGAGCTAAATATATACATACGATCACTTTCATTATACTCTATCCTATCCTATCCCGTCTTGTCCTGTCCTATCCCGTCTTGTCCTGTCCTATCCTATCCCGTCTTGTCCTATCCCGTCTTATCCTATCCCGTCTTATCCTATCCTGTCACTACATGTACAGCATCAGCAGCCGCCGGCCATCATCTGGTGTTAACACGATGATGATAGTGGAAGGGAGCGAGTACAGTACCGGCAAATTGGGTGTTCTGTAGCGCTAAGGTGACACCGAGGAACACGGGGTCGCCTCTCACGATGTTTTAAAGGTGATGGGTACATCTTGATACGGCTGACTGGTGGTGGTGATGTTGGTGGTAGCAGTGGTGATGTAGTTATGGTTCTATTGCCACGGAACACAAAACACGTCTGATTTAATCTCGTAAAATTTTATTAATATTTGATTTGAAGAAAAAATTTATATGAATCTAAATTTCATTGATGATCAGTGTTGTCAATCCCAGGTCTGATATATTTTATTATTGTTACAGGTTGGTGGTGATTGGTGATGCTGTTGTTATGGAGACGTGAGTACTGAATTGCGCGCACACACACACACACACACACACACACACACACACACACACACACACACACACCTTTTCAGCATCAACTGGCCATCAGGCTGCGACGCCACATATTTTACCCAGTCAGTCATTCAGTCAGTCAGTCAATTAATCAGTCAGTTAGTCAGTCAGTTAGTCAGTCAGCTGTTAAAACGTTGTGTAATGTTTTAAAGAGAATAATTAGTCGGTCGCTGGGATGGGTTTCCTCATCAGTGACTTGCATATAAGTGAGGGAAGGAGTGAGGGGGAGAGGGGGAGGAGGGGGTAGAGGAGGGGAGAGGGGAGGGAGGCAGAGAGGGAGAGGGGAGCGGGGTAGAGAGGGGAGGGGGTAGAGAGGGAGAGGGGAGGGAAGAAGGGGGTAGAGAGGGAGAGGGGGAGGGGGTAGAGAGGGGAGAGGAAGAAGCGGCAGAGAGGAGAGGGGAGAAGGAATCATCCCAAGGTAGAGAAAGTGAAGACAAAGGTACGGCGAGGCGACTCACGAGGGTGACTCACGAGGGTGACTCCACGAGGGCGACTCACGAGGACGACTCTAGGACGACTCACGAGGGCGACTCTAGACGACTCACGAGGGTGACTCAAGGACGAGTCACGAGGGGCGACTCTCTAGGGCGACTCACGAGGGGCGACTCACGAGGACGACTCTAGGGACGACTCACGAGGGTGACTCTCCGGGCGACTCACGAGGGGCGACTCTAGGCGACTCACGAGGGGCGACTCTCTAGGACGACTCACGAGGGGCGACTCTCTAGGATGACTCACGAGGGGCGACTCTCTAGGGCGACTCACGAAGGCTCCAGTGTAGATGGTGGTAAAGATGCCAAAAAATCAAAATAAAAAAAATAATAAAATAAAATAATTCTGTGGAAAAATTGTCAAGTCATTACAGTGTTTTATCTTATCTGGGAAAATCTGAATTAAACCAACGGATCTGACTTCTGTGCATGTGTCGTTGTTGAAATGAATACTGGAAGATTATGTGAATTTTTATTACGTATTTGCATATTCATTGGGGGGGGGGCACTATATGAAAGGCACAGGTGGCACTGAAAGGCACAGGCTGGCACTGGATGGCACAGGCTGGCACTGGATAAGTTTTATATATTTTTAATGGGATTTTTTGTAAGTGGAAGTATTACGATGGTGTGATGTATGGGTGTGTGTAAGGTGTGTGTGTGTGTGTGTGTGTGTGTGTGTGTGTGTGTGTGTGTGTGTGTGTGTGTGATGGTGTTGTGGGTGTGGTGGTGGTGTGGTGGTGGAGG